GAGTAAATTATCTCTTTGTAGGTATAATGTTATGGGCTGAACTGTGCCCCCGCCCCCAAACTCAGGTTAAAATAGTAATTTCCAGTACCTCAGAATGTAACTATTTGGAGATAAGAGCTTTAAAGCTTTCAAGTGACTTAATACAATATGACTGGTGTCCTTATAGAAGGAAATTCAGACATAGACTTGCATGCACACAGAGGAAGAACACATGAAGACATAGGGAAAAGACAGCTATCTCTAAGTCAACAAGACAGAACTCAAAATGAAATCAACACCTTGATCCTGGACTTTTAGCCTTCAGAAATTAGAAAATTCTGTTGTTTAAGTCATTCTGCCTGTGTTATTCTATGGCAGTTCTAGCAAGCTTATTTACATAGCTTCCAGGAATAATGTCATCAATTCAGAAAGTATATGACATTAGTCATATTAAATTTAAAATGCTCCAGAATCTTATACCACATATATGAAAGAAATTTGAGTTTTTCCAAGTCTGACAAAAATGCTAAAAAATGGGTGTGACATAATCACAAGGTGTGAAAGTGAAAATTTTCTAAATCAGAATTTTTAAAATGTGATATGCTAGAAAACTGAATTACCTTATTCCTAGTAGTAAACATTACATAATATCACATGAAAAGGCTATCAAAGAGCATGCATGCAAAAAAATTATAGGAAAAAACTGTGTATGTTTGCCAGATAACTTTGTGTGTGTGTGTGTGTTTGTGTGTGTGGTGCTGGGGTCTGGGCTCAGGGCCTACACCTTGAGCCACTCCACCAGCCCTGTTTTATGATGGGTTTTTCAAGATAGGGTCTTGCAAATATTTACCTGGGCTGGCTTCAAAGTGCGATCCTTCTGATCTCTGCCTCCTGAGTAGCTAGGATTACAGGCTTGAACCACTGCTCACTGGCCAGATACTTTTATTAGCTTTTTAAAAATTGTAATTTGTTGGCATCTTTTCTCATTCCAAAAATATCCACTAGGTCCCCAACTTTGTATTTATTTTGCCTTAAAAGAAATGCCAAAAGTAGTATTCCTCAGACACCCAGAAACCTGGGATGAACCAAATGGATATAGAGAGTTTCTGTCCCACTTCAGAACCCTGCTCTAGCATTGTGTCTTGTCTCCTAAGAAATACCAGAGTAAGAGGGAGCAGAGTTGACTGGTTAGAATGGCAAGTCAATTGAGACTTTGGGATGGATATGAGATAGCAAAAACTGAATTGAAGATGTTTGTGTGCTAGGCGCCGGTGGCTCACACCTGTAATTCTAGCTACTCAGGATAGAGGTTCAAAGCCAGCCCAGGCAAACAGTAAAATACCCAACACAAAAAAAAGGGCTGGGGGAGTAGCTCAAATAGTAGAGTACTACCTAGCAAGCTTGAGGCCCCAAGTTCAAACCCCAGCACTGGCCAAAAGAAATATATATATATGTATTTTTTTAACGGTGTTTGTGATACCTATGGCCAAACTAAGATTTAAGAAGGGCCACAGAAACCCCTAGGCAATAAGCTATGGAAAGAACCCCTGGACAGCCTCCACTTACCTTTCCCTGAGTATCTGCTCCTCATGCTGACTCTTCCCTTCAGCATGTCTGGCTTCATTTACAACATGCACGAAAGAGTGGGTGCTCTGCTGTGACCTCACAACTTTGCCATTATGATGTAATGAGCAGGCATTCAATTCTGCTCTAGCTAGGGCTTTGGTACTGGGAACATTGTCTCCTTAGTTGTGGGTAATTGGAATCTTTTTATTACTCAGGTGATGTGGGAGTCAATCTGTTAGAACTTTCTCTTTTTCAAGGACTTCTTCTCTTTACTACTTATTTCTATCACTGCATTCTGGGTTAGACAGAAGTCTTTGCTTTTTTTCTCCATCACATTTCTCATCCTTTGTTTTAGGGTTGTACCTGGTAAGCAAAAGGCTTTACTCTTCCTTCCAGTGCCTAATGAGCAGAATGTGACTCAGCTGGGTCCCTAAGGAAGCGGAGTCTCCACTCAAAAGGAAACAGCTTTTCCCAAGTTGGCCCCTTTAACTGTACCAGCAGCTAGTCCTGGGTGCCAAAGAACTAAAGATCTGGGCCCTCATAACTTTCCCACTACCCAAAATGGTAGTAAGATCCTGCTGAAGTGTCATAGGAGGTCTGCCAGCAACTCAGTATCTCCTTCCCAATCAATTTCTGCAGGCCAGAAGAAAACAGGACTGAATCCATTTCAGGAACAGGGAGTGGGTGAATTAAAGTATGATATATTTGATACATTGTAGGAACCTTTGTAAATGCCACATTGTACTCCCACTCAGAACAATGGAAAAAAAAAATTGGTGGGCACCAGCAACAGGTGCCTGTAATCCTAGCTAGGTTTGAACTCAGCCCCAGGGAAATAGTTCACAAGACCCTACATTGAGAATACTCAAGCACAAAAAAAGTACTGGTAGAATGGATCAAGTGGTAGAACACCTGCCCAATAAGCCTGAGGCCCTGAGTTCAAAGTCTAGTATCAATAAAACAAAAACTCTCAGCCTACTACAGAGTACTTCTCAATCTTTTGTTTCCATATTTCAAATTTATTTCAAACATGAGGGTTTGTACCCAGGACAGCTGCATGGGAAAGTGAGGCACAATGCTATTGGGACTGGGGCCTTGTGCACGGGGCTGTACTATGACAGGGGTGGGAGGGCTGGGTGAGAACAGTGGCTTGGGGGTGCTCACATACCAAACTTTCATTTCCTCAGCAGGTTAGCTATTCAATGGGTGGCTGAATAGTTTATAGCAAGGTCACTGCTCTAAGATTACCATCACCAAAAGAAGTTTCAAGGCTGAAAACATAAGACTATCAGTCCCTTTGTTTCTCCTTATGCCCGTAAGGGGAAGGGAAAGGAAACTAGCAGCAAAAATATGAACTTTTTTTTGGTGTGTGTGGTACTGGGTTTTGAACTCAGGGCCTATACCTTGAGTCACTCCACCAGACCTTTTTCGTAATTTTTTTTTTTTTAAATAAGTTCTCATGAACTATTTGCCTGGGCTGGTTTTGAACTGCAATCCTCCTGATCTCTGCCTCCTGAATAGCTAGGTAAAGGTGTGAGCCACCGGTCCCCAGCTGGAACATTTTTTTTTTTTTTGGAACATTTTTAATACTATCCTTTGCTAGGAACAATTATGGGTCCCAGTGTGTATTACTCATTTCTCAGCCTGATAATGGGAAGCAGTCAGGAGACCTGGGTTTAAGTACAGTCTTGGCTCACACTAACAAATTATCTGATCCTGCTGGAGTCACTTCTCATTTCTGGACTTGTTTCTTCTGTAAAGGAACCTGGATTCAATCATTTCTAGAGGCAAGCCTTTCATGTCTCTGTGTGTGAATAAGGATCAAGAGGAGCTCCAGAGAAACACAGAAGCTAGAAGCAAGAGAAAGACTGTACAGTTGAGGAATTAGGGCTTATTATGAAGAGAAATTAACAATATTCATAAAGAAAGGATTCTGGTGTGGTGGCCAGTAATCACAGCACTTGGAAGGCTGAGGCAGGATCTCCAGTTTGAGGCCTGCCTGGGCTACATAGTGATACTGTCTCAAAAAAACCTTTAGTCTGCAAGGTGGCTCATCCCTGGAACCCTAGCTACTTGGGAGGCAGAGATCAGGAAGATCACAGCTTGAGGCCATCCCAGCTACTCTGGGAAGCTTAAATAGGAGGATCGAGGTCCAGGCATATACTCAATACCTTATAAAAATAACTAATACAAAGAGGGCTGGGGACGTGGCTCATGTGGTAGAGTGTTGGCCTAACAAGCACTAAGATCCTAAGTTCAAACCCCAGGCCCACCAGAAAAGAAAGCTTATAGGACAGGTAGGTGTAGTAAGATTTCTGAGGTCTAGATGAGGGGAAAGAGACATTGTTCCTGCTAGGTTGCCTCAAGGACCACACCCCTGATCAGAATGTTTTCTCTTGCATCACTTCCCAGTCTATGGCTTCCATGCCATACCCAATTGCTCAATCACAGTCTTTAAAATAAATCACAACGCCTAACACAAAACACGCAACAGGACCCCTAGGATGTCCTGTCAGGTTGGACTGAACCAGATGCAAGAAGTTGGTGGTAGCTCTTGCCTACAGTACTTTGCTTACTGGGCATGTACACAAAGTGGATGGAGTTTCAGAAAGAGCAGTTGAGGAAGAAAGGGAATTTGGCCTGATCTCATTTGGTTTGTAGACAGCAGGGTTTATACTATTATACCAACCCAGTTCAGGGGATAGACTCTCAGTGCTTACATCCAGGGGTAGGAGTGCACATCTGAGTAGGAACTGTCTTCTGGGAATCTTAAAAGGCCCCAGGCAACACAAAAGCCACTCAAGAAATACTTGCTTTTATCCCCCTCATTTACAAGGCTTGGTGGCACTGAGAGTTGTGTAAGTTCCAAGAGTGAGACACTTGTTATTTGTGTGTCCAAGGCATCTCAGTCCAAGTCCAGCCTTGGAGCAACAATGGAGGGGAACCATGTCAACTTACTCCCAGGCCCTGCAGCAGCCCAATAGGAAAGAACCAGAAGACACATGTTATTCTATAAGTTGAGAGTATCAGTGTGAGCTATGGTTACCTACAGAGAAAGAGCTCAGGGAACAAGATTGTCCAGTTGGAGTTTGCATTTACCCATTTGTAATACCAGGGCTCCTAGAGAGGGCCCAAGCACAGATCTTCTGAGCTGGGGACCTTTCTCATGGAAACATTAGGAAATTTGCCTGGTCAAGGATAGTGGGGGGCAGGAGAAGGAAGTGGCATACAAAATGCTACGGAGGGTTGCTACAGCCAGGAAACAATCCCACCGTATGGAAAGGCTGGATTTTAAACAGGTTCCCAAGTTCTCTAGCAGGCAGGTAGAGTGGTCCCTTGCTGATCCTGCAGAGCTGGGACACTGGCACAGGAGACAGCAGCAAGTTCCTGAAAGGAACAGACGAACCTTGGGGCCCTTGGTGCTTTGCCTTCTCCAAGCCAGTTCAGGAGATTGGGAGGATGGGAAGACACAGCACAATCAGGAACTATGGTCTTTCCTAGTAAGAAATGATATACAGCAAGGTTTTTAATTTTGTTTTTAAAGAAAAAAATACAGCATCATATTATGCACACAGACTCTGGAGATTTCTTGGGTTTACAATCCTATCTCTACCACTTGGTGAGAACTTTAGAGAGACTTATCTCTAAAACAAGCACAATGATAAATACTCAACTCATAGGTGTTTTTTGGATCACGCATGTAAAACACATTTTAGCAGATAAATGTTAAGTAAATATGAGTTGCAACTATTGACTACAACATAACAGTAACACATACATGTTAAAAGACACACTGAATCTTGACCCAGTCTCCCTCAGCTGCTTACTGGTAACTAAACTGTGTTTTACTTGGTGGCTTTCAGTATAGTTTCTCTCTTCTTTGTAAGACTTTAACCTGAAGGTGACCCACAAGATGCATGAAATTCTTTTGTTTTCTTTGCAAGATAAGATGATGGCTAAGTAGGCATCTGAGGAATGACCTGGGGTCCCTCTTTCAGCTATCTTTCTTCAAAAGATTAAGGACCTGGACAGGAGGGGCACGGTAGAAGCCCCATACTCCATTCTGAATGCATGTGTGGGCATAAGTACATGCTTTCCTTCACTCACTGACAGAGATAGGAGGAGGCAGAAAATTTTCTTTTGAGAAATTAAAAACAGAAAAGGGTTTGGGGAGCTGGTTACCTGGGAGCTTCTTGTTCATCTGTAACATCAGAAACTGCTTCTTTTCCCTCACTTGTCCCTTTAGAAGATGATCGAGAAGGAGCCTGAGGGAGGAAGGTGGATCAACCATGGACTTGGAGAAAAGGAAGTAGGGTCTCCAACCCTTGTAGAGAAGGAATAGCAGAGATCAACATGGATGAAGAGTGAAAAGGAGAAAATGAAGGTAAATACCCTACATGTTCAAAGAAAAAAGTGATGAGAAGGGAGGACAAGGAAAGGGAAAGAAAAACAAAGGGGTTAGAGGTTATAAAAGGAAAGGAAAAATAAGTAACCAGCAAAGAAATGACTCATACGTTAAGGTTAACCAGCAACAACTTAAGGCATGAATGTATGAGTGGGTAGAAGGGTCCAGGTTTCCCATTTCACTGGCTCAGGATAAAGATCAGACTGCCATCTTCTGGCGCCATTTAAATTTCAAGTTGTTTTCATTCTTGTTACGTTCTCCATTTCTTAAACTTACAATCTTTTATCCTCAGGAAGACCCCAACATTGTTTCCTTTCATTTTGGGGTTCCCAAGCATCATTTTCCCCAACAGAGATACACCTCCCCAAAGCTGTCTCACAGTAACCCTGCTGGAAATCTGTAGAGGCAAAAGCAAAAATCAAAGGGCAGAGGATGAGCTGTGGTTTGGAAGAGGCTCTGAAACATCTGTGCCCAAAATATGAGGACCTATCCCTCATCCCAAACCACTGGCTCAGGACAGTGTGTGGTGGAAACTATGGCACTACTTTGGAGAATGGGGCTTCTAATCTACACTGTTAGATCAAGCTGGAGCCTAGGTTTAAGAACTCAATTCCAATTTTCAAGAAAAAACTGGGACCCAAACAGGTAAATCAACCAGTGACTTCCTTTTCTTCTGAGGCAGAAGTCAGAAGACTGTCCTGGTTCTCTGTCCCTTGATACTCAGTGCCACCAAAAACCAACCAACCAAAAAACTGTCCCTTAACCAACATTAAGTCTATAAAGTGCTTAGAGGTTATCAGAAGGCACCCAGAAAGGTAAGGCTGGCATTTTTCTGGAAGCCCCTGAGTGTACCAACCCTTTAGGTGCCCTGTTATTTGGCTCTAAGGACAAGCCTGGAGTTGCTTTTGGCTCCATAATTCCTAACTGCTTGCCTGCAGGCTGAAGGAGCTCTGAATACTCCCTCTCATTACTCCCTAGCCAGCCAGTGAAAGACTAAAGCCAGGGACTGTGTAGTGACAGGGAACACTGTCATAATGCCAGGGCCCAGGGAGCAATGGCCAAATTCCTGGGATTAAGCAAGGTGATTGTGATTGAGATAACGCTAAGATGGTCAGGGCTTGGGGACCTGAGGTGGCAAAGGCCGGTAAGAGGGAGTAAGTCCGCAATCTAAATAACTTCAACTGGGCCGGACCACTGAGCGCATAAAATCTCTTCCAGCCACAATGCCCGCCCAATTCCAAACAGGTTCCTGAGCGTCCGTATGCCTAGGTCTGCAGGGCCAACTTACTCCAGTGCCCACGCACCGGAGGTAAGGCTACTCCCATTCTCCTACTTTCTTCCACTTAGACCCAACCAGCGTTTTCCACCCCAACCTCTGATCTTGTGGATTTCTCCCACCTTTCCCAACTTGACTCTCTGGGACCGCTCCCCGACAATCTTGGTTTCTCCCATTCCTCCCGCCACAAAGGCTTCCCCCACCCCGCCCCCGGCTGCCTTTGGTTTTTTCCTGTCGTGGCCTGCAAGTGTCTCGTCTCAGATAAAGTGGATCCAGCCCTGGGGCTCCGGGGTTCCGCCACTGCCCGGGTGCTCCGGTCCACGTAGAGCATAGTCACGGCCACCGTTGTTGTCCCAGAACTCGTGACCGGTCACACGGTAGCGCAAGGCGAAGAGCAGAGCGCCCCCAATGGGCGGCGCCGGCAGGCGGAAGGAGAAGCGATCGGCGCGCGGCGGGGGCGGAGCCGGGCCTGCGTAGGCGGCGGGCGCTTCGCGCTGACTCCGCCAGCCGTCAGCGCTCCAGCGTACGCTCACGCGCTTCTCGTAGGCCAGGTCCAGCACGCGCGCGCTCCCGGCCACGCCCAGCGGGCCCGCCTCGGCGCGTTCCAAGCAAATGCGCTGAGCCTGCAAGCGGGCTGCGAAGCCGGGCTCGCTGGCCGGCTCCAGGGCGGCGCGCGCCTCCTGCGAAAAGAGGGGCGGGGAGGAAGGAGCCCAGGCGGGAGAGGGGAGAGACAAAGGGCGGGGTCAGAGTGAGGCACTGGACCAATCAGAGGCCGACCCGGCGTCGGACCCCCAGCAAGGGGCCTCCGGGTGAAGTGGCCTGGAGCCATTCTTAAATGGGGCCCCCCCCAAAAAAAGGATGAGCGGATGCAAGCTCAGGGCTGAGGACGGACGAGTGTTCCTAGACAAGTCCACTCCCACACGCCCGCCGCGGCCGACTGGGGAAGTCCCGGGGAGGGGGCGTGCGCCCGCCGTCTACCTGGAGGCTGCGGGCGCGTGGCTGGCACGGCGCGAAGTGGCGGAGGGCGTCCCTCTGGAGCTGAACCTGCACGTGGCGGGGCACCCGGGGCAGCTCTCCCGGGCGGAAGCGGCGCACCGCGGCCAGCTCTAGCCCTAGCGCGTCGGCAAAACGCACTCTCTTGCGGGTGTCGGGGCTACGGCTGCGGGGCGCGCGGACCCCACCGCCTCCAGCGGGTGCAGAGCGGGCTCGGCGACCCCGACTCGGACCGTGAGCGCGGGATCGGGCCCCGAGCCGGGTACCGCCTTCGCCTGGCTCCTCCTCGGGCTCCTCCTCTAGGCTTGGCCGCTGGCTGCGGTAGTAGGCGCGCTCAGTCAGCGCAGCTATGAAGCTCAGGTTGCGGGGGATGTCGGTGCGGGGAGGGCGCTCGCGGGACATGACACCCCCCCCGCCCCAGCAGGCCTAGTCCTTAGCGCCCCGGCGCTGCCCTCCCTCCCTCTCTCTTCCGCCCGTGCTGCGTCCGCACAGAAGTCGCCCGCCCTGCTTCGGCAGCACCTCGCCTGTGCGTACTCTCCTTGTTGTCACCTCCAAGATCCTCCACCTCCGGTTGCTCTGCCTCGTCTCCGTGACCACCTTTCCCTCCCTCTAGCCGTCAGCTCCCAGGGTCTTAGACTATCCCATCCTGCCTCCTGCAAGCTGTCTGCTCTGAGCGTGCGCTCGACTGCGTTTGCGGTTCTGCGGGCCTCGCTGACCCGGCCCCCGCCCACAGCCCTCTGACAGGTGGCTGTATCCATCTTTGCTGCTGCACCAGGGGGCGGGGACTCCACCCTTTCGTCCCCAAGTGAGGCAACCCTTTTTTTTTCCCCCCCCTCAATCTTTTCCGCCCAGAAAGGGTTAAGAAGGCAGAAAGGAAAGAGTACTCTCATCTTTTTTTCAGGGGAAGGGTCAAAATGCCCAGGGTGTGAGTGACTTTGCTCCGGGTTTGGAAAGGGGGTAGAGGTGAGTGCAAAGAAGGAAAGGTCTTGAAAGCTAGGTAGAATCTTTCAACTAAAAGGTGAGAGATGTTGCATTCAACACACAGTGTCTGCAACACTGCCCATTGGGAAGAGTCCTCAACTGTAGACCTAACTAGCAGTCCTACATCTGTTTAGTAGTGTGACCTTGAGCAAGGCACAGCTTTTGTGGACTTCAATTTTCTCATCTGTAGAAAACAGTTTTAGGGCTGGTGGAGTGACTCAAGTGGTTCAGTGCCTGCCTAGCAAGTGTGAGGCCCTGAGTTCAAGCCCAGTACCACCAAAACAAAAACCAAAACCATAGTTTAGACTTCTGATCATTATCTAATCCAACTGTAAACTTTCTTGCGAAGCAGATGCACTACCACTTGAGCCACACCTTCAGTTCATTTTGCTCTGGTTATTTTGCTCTCATTGGCCTGACCCAAAATCCCTCTGATCTTAGCCTCCAAGTAGCTAGGAATACAGGTGTGAGCCACCACCCCAGCTCCAACTGTAAACTCTTGAGGAGGCAGGAAGTGTGTCTCATTTGTGATCAGTTTTAGTACATAATAGGTCTTCAAGTTATTGAGTGAAACAAGCACATAACTTGGAGCTCTGGCTGTTGGTTTCTAGTTCCAGTGAGCGCTTCCAAGAAGGGCACAGGACTTTCTACTTTCATTATTTTTCTATATTAGTGAAAAAGACATATGAAGTGTTTTTAGTTTTTTTCCAACTCCCCTCTTGGTCTTTCTAGCACTTACAATCTGCTAAATACTGTTGTAAGGGTTTACAAATATTAATTCATGAAATACAGCCATGATAGGAATAGGGACTATTATACCTATGTTAAAAGTGAGAAAATAGGAAGTGAGAGGGGGACAGGACTCTTGTCAGGGGTCACAGTTAATAATTGGGGCCATGGGATTAGAACCTCAGCAGTCCAGCTCTAGAGTTCATGCTCATACATTTAATGATTATGATTATATTAACACATTTGATGATAATGGTAACATTAATTAAATGATAGTATTAAAATCTAACTTAAAATGGAAAATATCAGAGTAGAAATGAATTCTTTTTGGTGGTGGTATAGGGGTTTGAACTCAGGGCCTTGTGCTTGCTAGTCAGGCACTCTACCACTTGAGCCACACTTCCAGCCTCAAAGTCTCTAAAATTAAAACAGTAGGATAGCTTAACTGAAAAAGTCTAAATTGAAAATAAATGGTGAGACATATACTATTCCTGTTTGCATTTTCACAGCAATGTGGTTTAGCCAGGACTCATTTTTAAAGTCATGTTGGATTTTATTTATTTTCTTATTTCATGCATACATATAAAATACATGGACATAAAGTAATTAATCATACACTAAAATTTATAGGAAGTAGTTTAAAGGAATCAATAAGGTCTGGTAGAGTGGCTCAAGCAGTAGATGGCCTGTGTAGCAGGTATGAGGTCATGAGTTCAAGCCCCAGTGCTGCCAAAAAAATTAAAAAGATCTTTAAACTTGGTAAAATAACATGTTATTGAAGTAAAATAGATGAAGTTTAAGGTCAGTATCTGTGGCCTTAGGTTGCCTTATCTATAGATTGAGCTGCGATCCCTTGGCCCTTGGCTCTGTGATGTTGGTCTGAGAAGATCCTTGAAGTATATAGCTTTGGACCAGGCACAAGTGGTGCTGACCCAACATCTCTGTTCTTCTGGCTGCTCATACTGACACTTTTATTCCAAATCAGTCTTTATTTCTAAAGCAGCTACTGCAGTAATCATCAAGTGACTGACTGGGACTACTCAATAACTGGCCAGAAGTGTTGATTGATTCAGTCAATGTTGGCCATGAAGACACAAGCATACATTAAATTCCGCTGCAGCTCTTAAAGCTCTTAAGCTTATAAATAAAAGGGCAGACAGAAATATATTTAGCTCTTATAAGACATTTACTTGAAGTAAAAAACAAAGCTTTATATATATATATATATATTTTTTTTTTTTTTGGTGGAACTAGGGTTTGAACTCAGAGCTTCATGCTTGCAAAGTGAGCACTCCACTGTTTGAACCACACCTCCAGTCCATTTTGCTCTGGTTATTTTGGAGATGAGGTCCTGCAAACTAATTGCCCAGGCTGGCTGTGAACCATGATCCTCCCGATCTCTGCCTCCCAAGAACAAAGCATATTTACTTCAAGTAATAAACCAGGATTGCAAAAAAAGCCTAGACTAGTTTTGTCTCTAAAAAAGGGACAACCTTGCTGGTGGCTGCTGAAATGATCAGGTCAAGAGCAAGAAGAAATGAGGATGGTTGAAAGGACATAGCCAAAAAGGCTGTCTGTTCAAATTACTCAGTATGGATTCATAAACCATGAAAATAACATTTACTAGCAGAAAGGAAGAGGTGATCTTGAGGTAACACTGTCAACACAAAACTTGCTGCGCATAGTGGCCCACATCTATAATCCCAGTACTAGGGAGCCAGTGGCAGGAGGATGTCGTGAGTTTGAGGCCAGCCTGGGCTACACAGTGAAAACTTGTCACAAAAATATGGAAAGACAGAAAGAAGGAAAGGAAGGAAGGAGGGAAGGAAAGGAAGGGAAAGGGAAGCAAAGGAAAGAGAGAGAAAAAAGAAAGCATTTAGCACCTAATAAGCCCTAGCAATGTGTTAAGTTGTTACTATTATTACAGAAAAGACTTGGCTTCTCTAGTGATCATAAGGGCAGATGGAAGCACCAAGGCTTAGACTGGAGGTAGAAACAAAGGAAAAGAACCAAAGGAAAGGACCAAAGAAAGAACCAAAGGAAAGGAGAACTGGGTTGTCTCTCTGGCCTTTGACTAGAACTCTCCACATGGAGCTGAAGGTATTGCCAGGAGCCCAGAGGGGGACTGGTCAGAATGCTTGTAAGTGCATTCATGTGGATCTGTTGTAGTCAGACTGCTTCATGTCCTGGGAACTGCCCTGTATAAATATATTGCCGTGTATAAGTAATAGATACATGCAATCTGTAAGATAAACATTAACCTTAGCACTGGCAACTTGTAGGGAGGGAGGTGGAATTGGGTGTGTGCATCTGTGTGTGACTTCAAACTTGTATTTTGTTCCTTTGTGCCTCTTTACTGTGTAGATTAGTTTGTGTGTTGGGTAAAACAATTAAAAGATAATCAATCTGATTACAAAAGATGATGAAGTACCTGCAGAAACTGCTAGCAATCCAAGTCCTTCCATCCTGATGCCTGGCTGAAGTCTCAGCCCAGGAGAAGACCACTGCACTAAAGGTCCTGGGGGAAAAGAGGATAGGAATCGCTTGTTGTTCCTGTGTTTGATGTCTCTGCTAGTCCCACAAGGATAAGGCACCTGGCAGGCAGTTCTCAGCATGGTGGGAACTGCTCTTTTCCAGGCACATAATCCAGGGTTGGAAAAGATCAACAAGTGCATGAACATCAGAGAGCTTCCGGAAGTGCTGAATTTGCTCCAGGATGTTCTGAGGCCCAGGGTGCTCCTCTGAGCAGTCTCAGAGACTCAGCAGCCCAGCCCAGCCCAAGGTGCTCTCTGCCCAGCCCTTCTTTACCTTCAGCAGCCCTCTCTTCCCCAGTTGTGGCCCTTCCAAGGCCTGCGTCCCAGCCCCGCCCCTCTCTCTGGACGCATCTCTGGGCCCCATCATCACCCGGCGCCAGGCCCTCCCTCCTGCCCCCCCTCCTCCCTCCTTCCTTCCCTCCCTTCCTCCCTTTCTCCCTCCCTCCCAGCTCCTGCACCAGGAAACAGCCGGATCCCGGCAGCGGCAGCGGCCTGACCCGTGAGATCCCTAACCTGGTTGGCGGGCGGGGTTGGAGACCGGCTGAGGGTGGGGGTAAGGGAGGAGCTGGGCCTTTGGGCTGCACTGAGGGGGAGCTGGGAGTAGAGATGGTGTCGACTGGAAGCCCTTGGCCCTGGGTTTCCCAGAAGGACAGTCATTAAACATGGATTCGGCCACACAGCTGGTAGAGCGTTGGGGGTAGGGTCTTAACACCCAGGAGCTGCAATCCCAGTCCTTCCCAGGCCAGATCCTGATCCCTGGCCTCCTCCACCTAGTTCTGATCTCTCTTCCCTTTCCAGGGCTCCACGCTGGCCGGGAGGATGAAAGGCCCCAGCTGGGGGCTCCTTGCCACCAGCACTGGGTCCTAAGAGCTGCCATCCAGGCTGGGTGAGTGTCCCTTCCTTTCTCTGTCCGGTGCAACCCTTGGCTTCTTCCACATTTCTCTTCAGCCTGTCTCCTCCCTATCTTATGCCTCTGCCAAAATCTCCACATCTTATTTTTGGGGAGGTCCTAAGACTCTTCCTGTAGCCAAAAAGGTGTATATTGGGAGAGAGAGAGAGAGAGAAAGAGAGTGTGTGTGTGTGTGTGTGTGTGTGATAGAGCTGGTGTTAGATTATTAGGAAAAGCTCTAAAGTATTCTAAAAATAAAATTTCCTTGCTTTACATTTAATTTGGCATATTACAAAGTTAGTAGCCAGTCCTTCCTGTTCTGGATCTCCATGACTTAAATCCCCTGTTCTTGCTGGTCCCTCCCCAGTCCTGTCTCACTGGATTGGACAAACCAGAAATGACCCTTCTAAATCTCTGTCCGTATATTCCATATATTCATGCCAGTCTTTCTTCCTTGCCCCCTTCAGCTGCCCGGATGGCGACCCCAGCCTCGGCCCCAGACACACGGGCTCTGGTGGCTGACTTTGTAGGCTATAAGCTGAGGCAGAAGGGTTATGTCTGTGGAGCTGGCCCTGGAGAGGGCCCAGCTGCTGACCCGTTACACCAAGCCATGCGGGCAGCTGGAGATGAGTTTGAGACCCGCTTCCGGCGCACATTCTCTGATCTGGCGGCTCAGCTACATGTGACCCCAGGCTCAGCCCAGCAACGCTTCACCCAGGTCTCTGATGAACTTTTCCAAGGGGGCCCCAACTGGGGCCGTCTTGTGGCCTTCTTTGTCTTTGGGGCTGCCCTGTGTGCTGAGAGCATCAACAAAGAGATGGAACCACTGGTGGGACAAGTACAGGAGTGGATGGTGGCCTACCTGGAGACACGCCTAGCCGACTGGATCCACAGCAGTGGGGGCTGGGTAAGAAGCTTCTCAATTGCTGCTCTGTACATCCCCCTGCAAAGCTGGTCTCCAGGGGGAAATGGGAGCTCTGATTGGAGGCTGGGGCAGCTATGCTGGGGAGGAGGCACTGGGGCTAAGTGCCCCTGTGTAGATAGAATCAGACTGAGGGGCCGGTGAGCATCACTTTCATCTCTGTACTCCAAGACTGCCTACAGTAATCACTGGATGGGCTAGGCTAGTGGTCCCAAGCAGAGGACAGAATACACAGTATTATGCACGGTACCTAAGGAGTGCCTGCAGGGAAATGGCATGAGGCATGGGAGGTGGGGAGGATCAGCTGGGTGTGGGGTAGTGATCACAGTGGATGGAACTGGAACTCTTCCTCTCCTCTTCTCTCCACTCCTTCCTCTCCTGATATCCCTTTCTCCTTCTTTCTCTACTTCCCTTCTCTCCCACAGGCGGAGTTCACAGCTCTGTACGGGGACGGGGCCCTGGAGGAGGCGCGGCGCCTGCGGGAGGGGAACTGGGCATCAGTGAGGACAGTGCTGACGGGGGCTGTGGCACTGGGGGCCCTGGTAACTGTAGGGGCCTTTTTTGCTAGCAAGTGAGAAAGTCCAGGGCCAGGTGGGGCTAGGTGTGGCTAGGGGCCAGGAGAGCAGGGACAGAACAGAGAATGCCCTTGGAAGAAGTGGGGTGAGTGGATGAGCATGGAACAGGGAAGGGTATGAGAAAGGTAATATGTGAGGGAGCTGAGAATGCCAGGCAGGTGGCTGAAAAAGTGAGCTGGAGACATTGGGGAATGTTTTAAGGACAGAGGCCCAGGAGATGGAGTCATTCCAAGGTTTAAGGGGAGGTGGGAGGGATCATAACTGTAGGTGTGGGCACATGAAACTACTTGGAACTTGGTTTGCAGCCCTGAGGAAGGTGAACTTGCATCAGGAGTTGGATAAGTGGGATCTGGGGAACCTAGAAGGCACATCCCTTTGAAATGGAAGCTTGGTGATTAGGTGAATGGGAGAGGTGGCAGTGGCTGAGGGCTGCTTGGACATGTGTGCATGTGAACACGTGCCCCTGTGCATGCTGGGCTGTTTGTCTAATCTGGTGGTGGGATTTTTCAAGGAGAAAACATTCCTTCTTGCAGTGGCAAGAACAACAGGGACTGTTCTCTGTCCCTCCTCCCCTTTCGGCCCCCTCCCCTTGTCCTGATACCTCAAGGCTGAGGGAGAAACATTGTATCTAGATAGAAGGCTCTGACACTTCTCTATGGAAAGTCCTTGGCAGGGCTTTGGAGAGGAGAGCAGTCCTGCAGCTGGCCTTGTTTCTTCATGGTCCCCTTTTGGTGTGTGTCTCCCACATGCTGCTGCCTCCTAAGCTCACGTAGGGCAGGGCTGTGGAGCCTGGGTGGGTCTAGGCATTGGTAGCTGGACCTACCTGCCACCCTCCCCTCCCACTAGGGCACGGGGTGCCCAAAGTGTTGCCTACTTCTGGAACCTCTGTACCTAAATTTAAACTCTAAATTGGGGCTCTAATTTTCCTTTGTGGATTTGGACATAAATGCTGATGTAGAATAGAGTCTGGGTCCTGCACTGTGTCTCGGTGAGACTGTTGATGGCTTGAGAGGACCATTACAGTTCTGAGCCCCACGGGGGTGATGGTGACAGGTGTTCTATTACTGGCCTATTCTGTGTCGTGGGCTTTGGTGCTGCTTTATCAGGGGCCAGGTGTATGGGTTCTAGAGTATCTACCATGACCTAGAAGCATTTGTTTCATCTGAAGCCACACTGTTTGCATGGTGTTATTTGTCTGCACTGCAGAGTCTGAGGACTTGAACTTTAGAACTCAACAGTCCTCTAGAACAAATCCAGACTTTTTCTTTTGAGGGAGAAATTGTTCATTCCAAATGCATGCCCTGAGCCAGACCTCACTGCTGCACTTTCCAGGGTGCTAAAATTGCTGCTCTCCAATGCTGACTTAATTCACAGTGCTCTAGAGCCCTGCCTATGATCCTGAGCACTGATCAGCTTAGCTAGACCATGGTTGACTCTTCTTGGAGATTTTCGCTTGGTCCTAGAATGTGGCATCATAGTTGTGCTTGCTAGAATGTGGGACCAAATTGGCCTCAGGTGTTTAGTCCAGACTTTCTGCTTTTGAGAGCGGGCTGCACTTTTTAATGGTATTTATGGGGAGGTGGTAGACTGCATGCACCATTTGATCTGTTGTGAGTGCTGATACTAGCAACTCAGAGCCAATCTGTGGCGAACAGTTGGGGTGGGTGTGAGGGTGGTCTCTGACTTGCTCAGGACAAACTAGGCCAGTGGTTTTCAAACTGCTTGGCAGAGCCCAGAAGTGTCCTAGGGGATGCCTCAGGAGTCTTTGGAGAGATGAAAGGGGTTGGGGGTGCTGAGCAGACTGGGCAACTTGCCCTCAAACAGAACTCCCCTTGTAGCTGTCGTACATATCGGGGTCCAGGGTAAGATTTTATTTGCATTAAGGGGTTTACTGCTGAAAAATGTTGGAAAACCACTGACTAGACCATCAGCTCCCCCAGGTTCAGGGTGGACTCTTCACCCTACCCTCCACCACAGAATGTCTATCCAGTTAGCATTCCTGGGGCCCTTCAGCAAACAGGAGCAGCCCTGCGCTGAGGCCTTCACACCTGGCTGGAAGGAGAGGCTGTTTTCTGAAAGGAATTCCCAGATGCTTAGCTTAGATGGGACTATACAGTGGGCAGTTTTGACCTGTTCTGCCCTTCTTAGTCAAGGGGCAATGGAAACCCCAGAGACTCTTTTGTCAGGGAAAACTAGGGACTCTCTTCTAGAGCCATATAGTTCCTTGGGATTAGCTCTTGGCCAAGAAGGCCGAGTATGGCTCCCAATTTTTAAATCACTTCATTTTTTTAAATGAGAGAAATAAATATACTTGCCATTTTTAAATGATAAATAGGTGGAGAGGATGTTTCTTGCTCTTCAGAGCCCAAAGGGAGGGACTTTGGTTAGGCCAAGGAAGGAGCAGAAGTAGGGCAACTCAGTCCTGCAATTATGAATCCCACTCCCCACTTATTCTAGGGCATACATACACTATTATACTTTTTTAAATCATAAAACGGCAGGAGAACAGATTTGGTTAGTTTAGAAGAAAAGGAAAAGCTCTATAAATATAAATATATATTCCTGTATTTTTATTTAATAATTTATAAATACCAAGTTCATTTGACTTTTATTTTTGTGTAATATGTAACGGTCATATTCAAAAAATAAATAAAACCCAAAAGTTTAATGAGAAGGACTGAACAGGGTTTTGTGACTTCTATACTGTGTAGCCTGGAGTCAGAACATCAACTCATGACCTTGCTAAGAGTAGCAATTAGAGCTAGAGGGATGTGGAAAAGAGTTGAAATTAAAAGAAAAAGAAAAAATTCAATGTTGTTCCACCTTGTCCCTGGCCAAGAACTCCATCTCTCCCAACCCAAGCCCCAAGATGGTAAAGGTATATGGTTCTTTGGGTCTGCCACAAACAAAAAAACAAAAATTTTTATGTGAAATCTACTCCCCAGTTGCAATTCAGTCTCTAGTCAGAAGTGTGTGATAATGAGCATTCCTCCCTGATGCCTACTTCAGATTTAAAATAGGCCTGGCAAAAACAGAGCCCCTGCTTCTTTGCAGGGTTTCCCTCCACCCCAGATACTTGGTTTCAGCCATTTTAATGCAAACTGCTAAACTGGATGGAATTGCCAGGATTTTTCAGCCAAGACCCCTGTACTTCTAGTCTAGGATCACGTCAAAATCATGTCAGACAGAATAGTGATCCTAACTTCAAGTGGAAATTTCTAATCCTTCTGTAATCCAGTATAATAAATTGATATTTGGGTTTATGTGTTAAATTGTGAGAAATATAATTTTAGAGGAACCCAGTGCTGCCTGCTTTTCCAGTCTCTCCCTATAGAAAAATTTAGAGCATTGGGGAAATTGAGGCTGAAGGATTTTGAGTTCAAGACCAACCTGGGTATACATAGTGAGACATCCCCCCCCTCCAAAAAAAAGCACTTTATAATTAGTATTTCCATCTCTGTTTTTTGCTTTTTTTTTTTCTATTTTTTCCTTTTTTTTTTTTTTTTCCGGTGCTGGGGACCGAACTCAGGGCCTTGCAGTTGCCAGGCAAGTGCTCTTCCACTGAGCTAAATCCCCAACCCCTAATTAGTATTTCCAAATATCAAAGCAGGGTTGGGGATTTAGCTCAGTGGAAGAGCGCTTGCCTGGCAAGTGTAAGGCCCTGAGTTCGGTCCCCAGCACCGGAAAAAAAGGAAAAAAAAAAAAAAAAATCCAAATATCAAAGCTAGGCTATGAATTTAGCTTTGAGCTTCTTGGCAGTAAAAGCAAATTAGAAAACACAATCAGGGGCTGCTGGAGTGACTCAAGTAATAGAGCACCTGCCTAGCAAGTGTGAAGGCCTGAGTTCAAACCCCAGTAGTGCCAAAAAACAACAACAACAAAAACAAACATGATCAGATTCACAGACCTCTTATTATTTGTAAAAGCTTACCCATTACTCAAAAAGGGCAAAAAGTTTTGTGGCTTTTCTGAGATGACACCTAACAGTAGACGCCATTCTCTATACACCTCCTAACAACGAATATGTTATTAAGTTCTCTATACCAGTTTCCTGTAGAAAATAGTAATTTAGAAAGTAGGTCTTAAGATTGTTCTATCAGGCTTATCATGATTTAGCTCAAATATGCTATGTTATGATGGTCTGATTTAGTATAGGGCTTATACCTATCCAAAGGGACAGATGCAGTGCTTTTCCTTTAGACAAATGCTTTTCTCCAAATGGCACGTTTGATAAAGCTGGGCAATATTTAGTTACAGTCTCTGGCAAATGGATGAATTCTAGATACTCTGTTTCAATGGAGATACTTTGAAAAAAAAAGCTGCCTTAACAGCCTGGGCCAATAAAACATGCTGATGGAGGCTCAAGGTGCAGGCCCGAGTTCAAACTCCAGTAACATAAACAACAAACAAAAAACCTGTCTTAAATGTGGATACAGGAAAAAAAAAAAAAAAAAATATATATATATATATATATAAAGTTAAAACTGAACAGAGGGGCTAGGGGTGTGGTCCAGGGTTAGAGCACTTGCCTAGCATGTGTAAAGCCCTGGGTTCCATCCCCAGCACTGCAATAAACAAATGAACAAATAAATAATAAAACTCAACCAGAAAACGTGACATAATGGAATACTATATAGGTGTTTTCATTCATCTTTCTCTCCTGGAGCAAATATCCAAGCATCTTCTGTGTGCTAGCATAATTTTGGGTGCTGAAGTAAAGTGAATAGACAGACACAGATCTCTGCATACTGCTTACATTCTAGTGAGAGAATGTAAAACAATACATTTCATAAATATTTTAGAAGGTAACAAATACTCTAAAGGAAAATACTTGAAGGAGGATGGAAATAGGTAGAGATATTTCAATTATAAATTGAGTGCTCAGGGAAACCCTCAAGGTGGTTTTTGAGTAAAACCATGAAAAATAAAATTGGAATAATAAATTTATTGACAAGGAAAGATGTTCCTGTATTTACTGGGTAAAAAAAGAGTATTGGTGAGAAAACAGTATGTACAGTATGATCCCATTTTGCTAAAATATATGTGTGTGTTTATATATTTATATGTTAAAAATTCCAGGAACACTCAAAGCTCCATATGTCAAGATATTAGTGACTATTTCTGGGTGGTAGATTTTGAGAGTGGTTTTATTTTGTTCTTATTGCTGTTAGTATTTTCTGGTTTTTTGGTAATGAACATAAATAGCTGATCCAGTATACTAAAACAAGATACAGAGTTTTAAAAACATTAACCAATCAGAATGGAAATTAAGCAGCCCCACCTCTGTAGGGGCTCCTTCATATTTAACTGGTCACCCCGCTTTTATGCCAGGGCAGACCAAGGGAGTTGTTATAAACAGACCCCGAGAGAAGATAGTTGGGATCTGTTCTAAAATGGAGGTAAGTAAATGATAAAGGTTCCAAAGTCCTGTGTCAGCACTGTCTAATGAGTTATAATGCAAGTCACAGGTGTTGTATATTTTCTCATTAAAAATGCAAAAACAGGCTGGGCACAGTTGTGTGAGCCTGTAGTCCCAGCATTCTGGAAGCTGAGTCAGGAGAATCTTGAGTTTGAGGCCATCCTGAGCTCTGTACAGAAACACTGTCTCAAAGAAAAAAAAAAAAGGAAAAGGAAAAAATAAACAGGTAAAACTAAAATTTTAATTTTTTATTTAGCTCAGTTTATTTAAAATATTTTAACATAATAAACAATTATCAGTTATTCTACATTCTTTTTTCACACTTCAAAATTCAGCATGAAATTATACTTTCGGCACATGTCAAATGCTCAATAGCTACATACGACTACTGGCTATCATATTAAACAATGTAGTTCTAGATCACAGATTATTATAGCTTGTGAAAATTTCAAGTCAGGTATTAAAAATAGGAATAAGGCCAAGTGCCAGTGGCTCATGCCTGTAATCCTAGCTACTCAGGAGTTAGAGATCAGCCAGCCAGCTGCTGGCAAAGAGTTCAAGAGACCCTATCTCAAAAATACCTAACACAAAAAAAGGCTGGTGAAGTGGCTCAAGTGGTATAGTGCCTGCCTACCAAGGGTTAGGCTCTGAGTTGAAACCCCAGTACTGCCCCCCCTCCCCAAAAATAATAATAATAGGGATTCTTCAACTCCCACTATTAACACATTTTTCCTTGTTCTTGAGCATACTATTGGAGTTTCAGTTTTTCCAAAATTTCATTGTCCTCTGTAGGGTATAATTTAAGGAGAACTGTACTCAAAATGGATGATCTTATAACATTGCATACTAATTCTTAAAAGATTCATTCCCAGAGGAAAACGCTCTTCAATATTCTCTACATCAACAGCAAGCAAGATATCAAATAAGTCAGAATTTATAGAGTGCAGTGACAGGCAGAGAATACAAATATACCATTTATAGTCTAATGGGGAAGGATTTTACAAGTCACCAAATATCCTTTTAAATTTATTTATTTTTGATAAAATAGTCATGCATGTTGAAGTCCAGAAGTTGGAATGACTTACTTTTTTAAAATGTGATGACTGTGGAAAAATTGTAGAACAGCAAGTTTTAAAGAAGAAAATTAATCCTAATTTTATGCCCAAGGAAAGCTATTCGCATTTAGGGGATTGGAGGTGTAGCTCAAGTGTTAGAGCGCCTGCTTTGCCCTGAGTTCAAACTGTAGTCCCACCCTCCAAAAAAATTTCTCTGGGGTTGGAGGTGTGGCTCAAACCTTAGAGCCACTGCCTTGCACGCAAACCAGAGTATCACCAAAAAACAAAACAAAACAAAAAAAAAAATAAGCCAGGCACCAGTGGCTCACACCTGTAATCCTAACTAAAGAGTTCAAGAGACCCTATCTCGAAAATACCCAACACATAAAAAGAAGCGGTAGAGCACCTGCCTAGCAAGCGTGATGCCCTGAGTTCATACCAACACCAAACTAAATAAAAATGAAGAAGAGCAAGAAAAAAAGCAGCAAGCAGGGCGCCTGTGACTCATGCCTGTAATCCTAACTACTCAGGAGGTAGAGATCAGGAGGATCGAGGTTCAAAGCCGGTCCCGACAAACAGTTCGAGAGATCCTATCTCAAAAAAACCCATCACAAAAAAAAGGGTGGTAGAGTGACTCAAGGTATAGGCCCTGAGTTCAAACTCTAGTACTGCAAAAAAAAAAAATTCTTTTTTTAGGCATATTTCTTTCCAGTAAGCTTTGCTTATTTTATGATCATATTACACATACAATTTTGTATGCTGCAACTCTGCTTACTATATCACAAGCATTTTTTCACTTTGATAAACTTCTTTACTTTTTAGACTACTTTAGAGCAAATTATAAGAAATAGGATTGCTAGGTTAAAAAATCTCAACATTTTTTGCTTTGTTTTTGAGATAGGATCTCACTATGTAACAGAGGCTGGCCTCACACTTGAGATCTTTGCCTCAGCCTCCAAAGTGCTAAGTGGCTGACATTATTTTTGTACATTACCACACGTTATGTGAAACCCCTTATTAGATACAAAATAATCTTTGGATATAATTATAGTTTGCCTATACTTTTGTCTATTGTTGGAATTTTCAGTTAGTATCATATAATTTATATATATCTCATACACATTAGCATTATATATATATATATATATATATAATTTTTGTGTTAAAGCAGGCATTATAGTTTTAATGTTAAGTTTTTTTGGTGGCACTGGGGTTTGAACTCAGGGCTTCACTGCTAGGCAGGTATCTTACCGCTTGAGCCACTCCGCCAGCACTTTTTTTTTTGTAATGGGATTTTTCAAAATAGGGTCTGTGAACTATTTGCCTGGGGCTGGCTCTGAACAGCCACCCTCCTGATCTTTGTCCTACCTCCTGAGTAGCTAGGATTTCAGCTATGAGTTATCAGAGTCTGGCTTTAGATTTCCTGTGACTTGAGCAAAGTCACTATTCTTTTTTTTTTGTCCTACTAGGTTTTGAATTCAGATCTTTGTGCTTGCTAGGCAGATACTCTACCGCTTGAGCCATGCCTCCAGCCCTAAAGTCGCTTAACTCTTTTTTTTTTTCTCCTAAAAAAGGTTATGGTTTGTTTGGTCTGGTGATCACAGAACTCAGGAGACTGAGATAGGAGACTCTAGTTTGAGGCCAGCCTGGGATATATAGTGAGACCCTGCCTCAAAAACCAAAGGTGATGGGGGAAAGTTGCAGTTTTGGAAGTATTCACTTAATAGGGTTATTCATAGGAGGGAGTTCAACAAGAAAATATAAAAGGAATAGTGTGTTACAAAATCAAGTGCTTAATAAAAATAAGGTTCAAAGGCATTTTTAAAAAAAATTACGTTTGGGCTGGGATGTAGCTCAGTGGTACAGCTCTTCAGCGCTTGCCTAGCATGTGTGAGGCTCTGGGTTTGATTCCCAGTACCAAAAAAAGACCAAAAAA